GTAACTACCACATGCAACCGAACTGAGCAAAAGGAAACGGCAACAGGAGAGAGAGGTAGTGACTAAACAGCAAGAACTGAGGTTCCGATTCCTCATGGGCACGTTTCCCTTAGAGCCGAAAACCTTAAAGCTTTACCTGAGAGTTTAAGCTACACATCCTTTCTGTAAAAGTCTGTCTCATTTCCGAGAAAGTGCCCAAGCATTTGCCCTTTACAACACTGCACCTTCGAGTACTGCTACCAATTCCTTTTGCTCGCAAATTTGGTCAAACAGTGATTTTGAAACACTTCCTTCTCCAACACGAATAGGTCAACCGGATTCAAATCTAAACGAAGGACACAATGCTACTCTCTAAATTGTGAGTTTTCCAGCAAAACCCGTACCTTACTTGATTCCCTACAATCTTTCTTGTCCAGTTTGAATATAAACTGAAAAGTTGTTGCAGAGTAAAATAACGCTTTTGCCTGAAGTCAGAAAAGTTATTAGGAGCAAAATCACCCCCCACTGGGCATGCCCGGAATTCCGGGGGAAATCAGCTTTCGTTGTTCTATGGCCCAGACCAGATGCTCTGAGGTGGCCAGGAACCTTAGTCTACGCCCACTTAGCAGATTTCTGGCTTTCTATCAGGGACTAAGAGGTTTATTTGCAGAAATGGATCATTTCCTTCTAAATATCCTTTACCCTATTTACATGCCTGCATATTCCTTCTATGTTGTTTTCCCCCTACAGCTTTACTAAGGGAATTAATTATCTAGAAGAACAGGAACATACAGTAAGTACATCTGAGATACAGGATGAGACACAGTATGTCATCTATTAGGCCTGGCTAAGACCAGCAGCTGATGCTAAATGGGAAGGAACATGCACCAAATGTTTTTTAATCACAAAGTTAGTAATTAATTGCTCTTTAAAATACATTTTATGCTTCTTTCTGTCTGTGTACATGAAATGCACATTTATTACATGCCAAAAATTACAGCATTATGGTTTAAATGTGATTGGCACGGAAGTCCGGAAATCAGCGTTAATGTTCCCACAGCAACTTTAATTCCGACCGTGTGCACATGCGGGCTGTAACGGCCTCCGCTCCAGGATCATACATATAGATGGTCTGGGCGGGAGGCTAACGACCCATGTCCTCAACTGTAGTTACAGGAAGAAAACAAAGGCCATCAGCTGCGCGCCTTTCCACGTGTGTGGATAAAAACAATGTCCCTGTGCCCCGCGTTGTGTAATCAGAGATGAAAGAATCTGCTGTGAGGCCGGCACTTAGGGGGACAGTTTCTGTTGCTGTGGGAACCCGGACTTTGCATTTCCTGACTTTGGGGTAATTAAAATGTCAGCCTTAATGTGGCATTAATAGAGCTTGCCATAAAAAATCCTTTGTTTTGTTCTCTAAAAAAATTGCTTAAAAGTTCAAAATGAACCAAGTGTACTAAAAATTTTAATCTCGGGAACTTGGACTGGTGAAGCAAAGGGTTGGGGGTAGGGAGGCCAATGGAGGTGGATGGCAGGAAAGAGAGGGACGAGCCCATGAGTCTCCTGGCCAGCGTTTGGCCCCAGCAAGTCATGCTACCTGCAGAGCTAAAGTTAACCCCACCCACACAACACTTTGGTAATGTGCAAAGGTTAAATTAAAAATAAACAAAAACTGTGAATGCGTAAGTGCATCTTGGCAAGGACACACAAAAGTAAGGCAGTCTGATGAGTCCAGTGCAAAACATGGGAAGGTAAGCAACCACGGATGCCAGCTCCCAACAAAAGAAAGACAACAGCATCCTGAGCCTACAGTCAAAAGCAGGGAGCACTGCCCCAGGGAGGAGGCACCCCTCCACTCCTTCAAAGGGGCGCTTATTTTGGGGCAAGTGATATGGGAGAAATATGCAAGTGATAGTTCGGGTGGCCTCTGTCACGTGTACATGACTGTGCTAGGCTACAGCTTGCTATTTGACAAGAAAGGTCTTTCACTTAGAGAGCCTCGCCTGCTCTCCTGACGTGGTTTAGTCCTGTTTCAGCATTTGAAGGGAGAGCCTATTCAGTTTTGTATCCATTTCAAACCTTATCTCAGTGCCTTCCATTGTCATCATCTGAGTTTGAAACGGTAAAGAGGTGACAAACTAGGAAGTAATGGAGGAGTATACTAAAGGAAATTGTTAGTGTGAGTAATAGTAACCTTAGGACTAATTTAACCTCATCATCTCACAACAGAAGGCACTTCTCAACCATATTCCTTTTTAGTCTGAACATTGCTGGGATCTTTGGCCAAATCTGAAGTGGCCGGGCAGGTTACATAGTCTGTTGAGAATGTCAGGGGTCAGACTTATCCTCTTCCCTCTACAATTTGGCCTGTGCCCTTCAGAGGCAATGACGCTGTGGCCTACCCACCCTTACTGGTCCATATTCAGAACTGACTTCTTCTGTGAGGATGTTTATATATCGTGTTTTATAACCCACTCACCAAAATGAGTAGTTGCACATTTTCAAGATGCCCGTTTACAGCCTGGAATGCCATCTCTAGGCTTGGAACAAAGAATCCAGGCTGCCCACAGTGAGAGCAAAGCCACAGACATCCCTCAGTATCTGAATGAGTTAATTACAAGCAAGTCATTCATCTGTCTGTCAGTTTTCTCATCTGTACACTGGGAAGAATTATACTGACTGACAGGAAATGGGCATTAAAGCATGACTAAGAATCATTTTGCTAAACACATGACAAATGAAACAGTACTGTAAAAATTCAGGCACCTGTGCAAGCTGGGCATACCACATGCTGGCGGATGTTTCCAAAGTTAAAGAGATAACAAGTCAAGGGCACTATTTATAAATGCCCCAAATCTGTTAGTTCTAAATAGGAACTGAATATTTCACCTTAAAGAAATTAGGCTTTTAAATTAATCTAAGGAAAGAATGACATTTGAAAGTAAAAAGAAAAGAAAAAATCCTCTTGAAAGCAAGAAGAACATCCAAAACTTTAACAGCTTAAAATAAACCTCTTTCCTATCTTCTCTCCAAATGGCCAGATTTCTGCGAATTCTTCCTAAAAACAATTGTCTTCGAAGTGTAAGCTCAACTCAGGACAAACTACGATCCGAATATATTTGGAGAAAAGTAGAATCAATTAGACAACAGGTTGGAGCAGAGAAGATTTTCACATCTTAATGGCAAAATCAAACTGACTTCAAACAGCTGGAGATTAGGTTTCTCCTCCCTGTTCAGACACCCTACTGACTGGCCTCCTCGTCGCTGGGAACTGTACGGCTACCATGCTTGTTCAGTTCCTTGCACATCTCCCATGCTAACGCCAAGGCCTGCTCAGAGGATGCTTATAGGAAAGTACAATAAATGGAGCCCAGTGCCTCCTCTAGTTAGAAAAACACTTTGCTGCAACAGGGGATTTCTGGTCGAAGGCCATTCTATGTAATCTTCCCACAAGGTCTGGCAGCAAGCCAGGCGGGAAGGTCTGCACGCAGGAGCTCCAGGCCCTTGGCCACAGGAACAGGCTACCCTCCTAGTAGGCAGGGACAGTGCGCACATGTCTACGGGCACTGTGCCACACTGTTTTCCAATCCTTCCTGTAATTACTATTGGGCTGGAGACTGCCAGGCAAGAGGGCCAAGGATGTTCCTATTACAATGGCCAGCAGAACACAGTCCCTGCTTCTGACCCCCAGGTTTCTCCAGAGAGGCGGCCACTTTGTACAAATTACTCTGGCTGTGGAGATCTGGATCTCCTTATTCTCATTTCATTTTCTCGGGGCAGCTGGAGTGTGGTCTCAGAACCATCTTCCTTCACCCCAACTCCACCCCTGGGTCTTGTTCCTCTATCTAGAGACTATTATGATGAAGCGAGGAAGGAATGCAATCTCTTGCAGGAATGAATTCACCTCTGGCCCTCTTTGCAGAATTTTGCATTTGTTTTGCCAGAATAATGACACTAGGAAACTTAGAATGTCATTTCCTAATTAATAATTTTTGTCTTTGTGGACAGAATAAATGGAGTCCTTTTTTTTTTTTTAAATAAGACTTTTTTTTTGTCATTTTAAAGAAGAATACGCCAGCTGTTTGCCTGTTACCAGATTTCCCTAATGGAGATAAGATCAGAATAGTTGTTAGGTACTTCAAGACTAAAAGGAATATTCTTTGGGATTGGAACCCAAAGTTTTCCCATTACTTTCCTTTGTTAACACACATATATCTTTCTCTTTCAAGTATTGGGTTACATTGCAAAAAGAGAAAAAAGTCTCCTAAATGTGATTTATCAACTTTCTTAAAATAGAATTTAAAGAAGTGACTCCCAGATTAGTGAGAAGACAGCAAAAATAAACAGCAATGGAGTGATTTTAAAAGCGACGATCTCATTAAGCTGCCCATTTCCAAATTTAGCCCGTAGGCAGTTTTTTTAATTAAAAAATATTTTTAACCTGAGTTTCTATTGGCTACGTGAGGCCTGGGTGGCTTCTGAATTCTTGGAAGCCATTCTCTTTTCCTCTGTAAATTTATGCTATCCTTTAACCACTTCAAAATAAATTAAAAACTGGAAAGACAGAAATTCAGCCAAGCTACATGAGACTCCAATAACTAATGCAAAGCTGATTTGTGTTAAGTAATTTCAAAATGGATGTTTCCTTGCATCTAACTGGCCGTATGAGATCCACATTTGGCTGCTCAATTAAGTCAAGGTGGAAAGTGCCCTTATTCCGATCCCGGGGACAAAAGAATTAGCTACACAACTTCACAACTTCTTTTTATGAGTTAATGTTATGGGAGATGATGTGGTTTCTGTGTAATTAATCATTCTTTTGAGGCCAAATGGCTGGTCACCTGGTTTTAACATCCCGTTTTGAAAATAGAGATGTTGGCTGAAACAAAATGGTGGCAAGTGATTTTTGGCTACTTTAGACCGAATGGAAACAGCCTGCTCTGAGGGCCACTGAGCCAGAGCCAGGGGAGAAGCCCGCTCCACGCCCCGAGAAGACAGCGCCACTGTACTGGTGTACTCACAATCAGATGACCCGGTGTGAGCGTGAGAGTTTGTCAGTGAACGTGTTGAGTGGATGAGGGCTGGGTCTGGAGACAAAACAGCTTCAAAGTTCAGGCAGGGAAGGCCCGGCTTGGCGCTGGATCCACCCGGCTGAGTAATCTCATTCTCCTCAGATGCCTTCTGGTTTTCAGCTGTCTTGGGTTTCTTCCTGAAAATAAACAAAGGGCCCTTTGAAGGAACTGAATGCATATTTGGGAAAAGGCATTTTTAGAATCTGTTAAAGATAACTTGATTTTTTTTTTTCTGAGGGGGGATGGGAGGGAGTCCAGTATGTCCCTTGTTTTAAAACAAGCTGAATCTTGTTTTTTCTTTTTCTTTTCCCTCCAGTAATGGCCTAACTGGGAACACATGAAAGCATATGGGCCAAGCAAACAGCACCACATTTGGACTCCGTTGGCTGCATAAAAAGACCCTGTCCCGGAACTTTAGACAGCTTGAGCTACGTATGGCTGACATTATCCAAGAAGGCATCCTTTTTCCCCCTTCAGAGTTTTAACATGGTCTGGAAAAATACTAGTGGAGGTTTACCGTTCTAGCATTTGTCAGGAAGCTTAGAGACAGGACTCGTGGAGTAATGGGAGGAGCACTGGACTGGGAGTCAGGAGACTTGAGCTATGGTACTAGCTGTGCCTCTAACTTGCTGTGTGGCCTTGGGCACCTCACTTCACCTCTCTGGGCTTCAGTTTCCTCATCTGTAAAATAAAGGGCTTGGATTAGAAGGCCTTAAAGGTTCCTTCCAGCTTTAATTTCTCTTCATGGAACACATTATGAACATTCAACTTTTTTGCAGTTTTATTAGGTTTTATTTTAGATCAATACATAACTTCAAATCACAATCTAAATGTTCAGGCTGTACAGATGAGAGGGGTTTGGTGGTTTAGTGATGGAGGTTTTTGTTAAGGTAGCAAATTGACAGTGAAAAGAAGAGCTTAGATTCCATAGGTAGAGTTAAGGTGTCACTGGAGATCCTCTATTCCAAACTCATTACTCACCCAAAGCTTGAGATTCCCTTTGTTTTTTTGATTTAGTGCATGAACTGCTTTTTAACAAGTTTATTTATTGATTTTTAGAAAGTGAGAGCAAGAGTGAAAGAGAGAAACATCGATGTGTAGTTCCTCTTGTTTATGCATTCATGGTTGATTCTTGTATGTGTCCTGACCAAGGATCCAACCTGTTACCTTGGCGTTACTGCGATGACACTCTGAGCAACCTGGCCAGGGCTTCATGACTCTTGGTATAGGAATGTGACAGGGTGTTTGGGATGTGATGAAGAGATTGGTAAAGGGAATTAGAAAGTAGTTATTGCTAATAGTTATTTGGGGTCAGGAATAGGAAGCAAAAGAGCTAAGTTATTGATCAGGTCCAGTCTTCACTCCCTTGGACAATGCAACTGGTATAAACAAATAAATGCTTAACTTAGACTGCACATACCCTAGAGGCCTCAGTCAAATTGAATTATTAATCATACCCTGAAAATTCTCCCCAATTTCCTTGGCTCTGTGCTTCTAGAACTATATGCATGGTGACCAGAGAAAGTGCTTTCTTTTTGATCGAAGATCATGTGTGATACATACTCTGTTGTAAGTCCAGTTTCCATGTTTTCCTTATTTCTATAAGCATAGCAATGAACTTGTTACTCAGAATATCTTCTCTTGGGATTTGCTGTGCGGGGCAGTTAAATCTGCCCTCACAGAATATGGTGTTCTGATTAGCATGCGGTGTTTCTGGTCCAGTTGGCTGTGAAATAAATCTGCTTTTCCAGAGGGCAGGAGGCAGAGGTGGGGTGGCACGGATGAAAACAGAGGGAAGCTTTCAGACATACTTTTCAGGATGGAGGAAGCCAATGTAAGAGAAGGAACAAATTGTAGTGCTTTACCCACTGTTTGTTGAGTGGGTGACTGTGGAACTAACCCCCAGATTCTGAGTGTCTACATGGACCTGCAAAGACCAGGTTTCTAGGTTTTAGTTTAATGAGGTCCCCAACTCCTTTCTTTCCCTAAGAAAACCAGCAGCTCCTCTAAGGTCCTTATTTCTATTACTGTTGTCTGTCCCCAGGTTGGAAACCCCAGGGTCACACACCTTCCTCTGCCTTAAAGTCAATTCATCAAGTCCCGACAATTCTGCTTCCTTTATATTTTATCATCTGTGTTTCCATTCCATTTCCATTGCAATAGCCCGAACACTTTTTGTTTGGAATGTTGCTCACTTCCTGGCTCTCTATTCTCCTTGACTCCTAGTCTCACTTCTTGGCATTCACTAAATCTGAGGTGACCACATCAGCCTGACCCTATTCTACCTTAGCTCACATGCCCTACATGTTGGCCATCTTGAACTCTCAAATTTTGTGAATATTTCCAGAACGTCCTGGGGAATCTTCATCCTTGATCAAGTTATTTCTCTTGCTTTGAATGCCCCTGTTTCAACTCTATTGAAATCCTATTTATCCTTTATATTTATTAAATGTTGTCTCCATCTTATAACTGTCTTGATTTCTCTCTGCCAGATAAGACCTCACTCTTTGTCTCTCAAATTCTTCTCCCTCCTATCTTTCTTTGAAACACCAAACACTTTTTCCTTATTTTATTTTACTTACTCAATTTTGCTGCAATTATGTACTTATTAGAGGCCTGGTGCACGGATTCGTGCACTGGTGGGGTCCTTCGGCCTGGCCTGTGGGGATCAGGCCGAAACCGGCTCTCCGACATCCCCCGAGGGGCCCTGGATTGCGAGAGGGCAGTTCTTGGGTGACGCACCCCAGAATTGGGCTCCCTCCTCTCTGGTTCCAGGTGCATCACCTGAGAACCACTGCTGCCAAGACACCACAGCTCAGCAGCTCCCGTGTTGAGTGTCTGCCCCCTGGTGGTCAATGCGTGTCATAGCTACCAGTCGGACGGTCAGACGGTCACTTAGGCTTTTATATATATAGATTATCCCTCCTCTAGGACACTGTAAACTCTGAGGGTTAGGAAATGTCCTTGTTATTATTGAATTCTCTGTGTTCATGCACTTTCCCCCTCTTCCCTCCCTCCCACCATTCATTTATTCATGTATTCATTTTCCAAATACTTGTTATGTGGCTATGGTGTGCCAGCGTGGGTTAGGGAATAGAACAAGCCTGGTTTCTACCTTCCCAGTGTTTGCTGTCTAGTGTGTACTGTTAAGCCAATAGCTTAGACACAGCATAATTCAATATATACTTGTTGATAGAATGAAATGGTGAATAAATTAAAGTATATTTTGAGAATAGTCATAGTCTGAATCCCAATTAAGTTTGCTACTCTTTATACAGCAGTGAAATCTACCTTGAATGGCTGCTTTTACTTTGAATCCATGAAGGGCACTCGGTAGGAGTAGGGACATTTTGCTCACTAAAGTTAGGCTGCTCCTCATGATTCATTTAAATACAGGGATGAAATACTAATGACAATCACAACAGAAAAAATATTCATCCTGGCTGCTCTTAGCAAGGCCTACACTAGTTTCAGATGTGAGCTTTCAGAATTAAGGAAGTTCTTTCAAAAATGAGCATATGGCCAACATTACTCTTTTATTTTTATGATTGCACAAATTGTATTATTCTTTATATAAATGCCCTTGCTCCCTTCCCTAGATTTCACCCAGCTTCCTACCTGATATCTTGCACCACACCCTCCTACTTGTTATCTTAAGGATCACCTTTGGGGTACATTCAAAACAAAGAGGCATTGGGGTCATCTCTATGAACAGAAAGTACTGAAAACTGAACCTTAATTGGTTCATACCCCCATTTGCCTAATATCACTTTACTTGTCTGTATGCCATTAGGCTGTTTCCCAGCTGCCAGAGAGCAGAGAGCCACTCCGTGTTCTCAGAAGCAATTCATTCCCATCCCACCTTCTCTGAAAGTCCTTCTGGACTCCTTTTTCCAGAGTTGAGTAACACTGAAATATAGCCTCAGTCTATGTCTACAAATGCACAGGTGGGTTATTCTGACCCTATTTTTTCAATTAGTAGTTTATTAAGAAGGAAAGAGCAAGTCCTATAGTAATTCATTTAAAATACCTTCTTTGGTTGTGTGAAAAATAATTATACAAACAGCACATCTGAGGACCAGTCTCTTTCAGCCCCTGTGGCTCTGCATTCCCGCCCGGAGCCATTAGAGGGCAGTAGCACACTGGCTGGCTCCCGGCAGCCTTTTGGAGAGGCACCTCCCCACCAGACCAGAACCTTCCTCTCCTGGTCACCATGCCAAAGGTTGCTTTGCCAAGTTCTGGCCGCTAGGCCTCTTTCTTTCTTTTCAGCGCTCTCTCCCTCTCTCTCTCTCTCCCCTACCCCACTCCCCTTTTCTCTCTCCCTCCTTCCCTCCCTCCCAGTGTTAAAATTATACACTCTGATGAAGTCGCCCCTCAACCGGAAAATGAAAGCTCCAATGAAAAAGTTAGACAAGCCAACAATAACAAAGAAAGAAACTGGGAGAAAGGGGAAAGGGGGCTGGTGAGGGGGAAGGATTTAAGAACAAGAAAAGGGCAGATGTTTTGTAAATATATGCAAAGCAAAACTGGGTGTACCCTGAACACTTCCACCGAGAAACAGACCAATCATTGTGCACTTCCTCCCGCCACTCTGGTGGGAGCTCTGCATTAAAAAAAAAAAAAAAAAAAAAGTGTGGCTGCAGGCACCTGCCTTTCAACGGTTAGTTCTGACATTCTGACTGAATATCTCCCAATTGTCCAAGGAGAACAAAACCATTTGATCTTCCCACTGCAAACATTTCTGTTAAGAGAAAAAGACTGCTTCAAGGCTGGGAAGGCATTCTAAGGTGACTGGCAGTTGGGTTAGCCAGCGGGCCCTTCTGGTTTTTAACTCTCACTGTGCTGGCCCTGGCAACAAGTTTTGGACTGAAACATAGCAGTGAGAAAGGCTGTGGAGGATGTTGGCTCTTTCCTTACTAGACCATATTGTATGTGGAAGGAAATATGCATTAAGACATATTGATGAGATGTAGGTATCATGCATGTGAAATGCATGGAAATTAACCAGAGAGGCGGCATTTCACGTATACATTTCACACTTCTTCGCACACATTGCGCACATACAGTGATGGCAGTGCTTTCTACAACATATGGAAAATAAATATTTTATCTGTGTGAGCTCTTATCAGTCTCCAGGGGCTTTGGAGAGCAGAGTGCTCTCTTCTATCTCCCTCTCCCAATTTTCTCTCCGCCAGGCTCCCCCTCTCCCGCGCATTAAGCGTGCCTTCCACTCACCAGCCTGCTTGGATCGTAAAGAATTAGTGAGAACCTCCTCTGGATGAATAATTACTCAGTCATTAGATCATGATAATTTAGACCAGTGATGTCCCCCACCCCCATCTTTTTGGACTGGTAACCATTTCCTTACGCTCCTTCCCAACAGTGCCTTGGGGGAAGGCTTAGGGAATGTTTGGGTTTGGGGGCAAAGGGCAGGTGGAAACAAGGCACCCAGTAAGAGCTGGTGGCAGGATTGTGTTCTACCACCTCGTAGCTGTGTGCTCTAGACAGGCCACTCTGCTTCTCTGGGCCTCTGTTTCTTCATTGAAAAAGTAGAAATAATAATAATACCTTCTAGGGCTGATGTGAGAAATGAGATAATTCATGTCAAGTGGGTGGCACATCCTGGCACATGGTCAGTGCCCAGTGATGGTAGCTCTTTTCACAGAGAGTGTCATTTCTATGGTTCTGTCTTTTCTGCTATAACAGAGCACTTCCTTTATGTTAGTAATCTTTTTTGTTCAGTAATCTTTTTTAATATATAGATTTGGGCAGAGGCAAATGGGCTGTAATTGTAGCAAAGGTGGAAAAAATGCTGGGACAAGCATCTCTTCTTGAGCGCTATGATCTCACTGTATTACCCTCCTGACACCTCCTGTCTGCTCACATTGGTCCTGCTGCTGCTGTACCAAGAGCTATTCTTCACGCTGAGGCTCGAACAGGCTACCCTTGGCCTATGGAAGCCCATCAAACCTGAGCACCGTGGTCTATTCATTAAAACCAACCTTTGGCACTCTCTCATCATGTGTTCTTACAATTTACTCTTTCACTACTTGGTCTAATGTTCTCATATCAATTTAAGATGTTTTTGTGATTAAAACATTTATTCTCTCTCTTTTTTTTAAACTTTCTTGGCAAGGCTGATCTACAATGTTTTTCAGTGTATATCTCCCCCACTGTATCAGGCAGGATCCTGGCAAGAAACAGATGGTACACTCAAAGGTTTGAACTGAAGAGAATTCAATGAAAGGATTATACTGAGGTTCATATGAGGTTAAGGGACCCTCAAGGGATGGTGAGCATCAGGGACTAACAGCAGTGGGAAGCTGTTAAATCTCAGCTTTCAACTGTTACCCCGAAGGAGCAAGGAAAGGCGTGGCTGGGAAGGAGGCTGGGTTAATAATGCCGTGACCTCACTCTCCTCCCACTCTCACACCTCTTGCTGGTCTCTCCTTTAGGCCAAAGTCAAGAGGGAGCCAGAAGAGAAGACAGCTGGGCAACCGAGTTCAGAAAGGTCAGCCTCTGGGCCACAAATCAAGGCAGAGAATGGTTCTGGGGTTTTGTTTGTGTCCATCGGGGATGGAGGGAGACTAACAGACATGTCTATTCTTTCCCTCTCCGTTTCTTCACCCTTTGCCTCTCAATCTTACTTTCTGGAAGGAAAGACACAGCAAAATAAAAGGGAATCAATTCTCTTTTAGCGTCCACCTACCTATTTTGTCTACTTGCCATTTACAGGAGAAGAAAACTGAGTGTAAGCTTGACGACAGCAGGTGCTGGTGTTTGTTTGCTGCCATACCTCTGCTGTATAGAAGAGTGCCTGGCACATATTAGATGTCCAGTGAATTTTAGTCGACTGAGCAAATACACTCATCTCTGCTGGGCCAGACACTACATATACATTCTCTCATTTAATTTTCACAACAGTCCAGGCAAATAGGCTGGGCCACTGGGCATGCTCGTCCAGGTGGTGTGGGAGTGGGTAGGTTTTAAAATCTAACACTCACCCCCTTTATACCCACCCCCAAGCCTTGAGACCTGGCCCAGGGCATTGACAACCCACAGGAAGGGACAAAGTTTTGTAATTAGTCCACATTTTTATACTTTAATCACCTTTTTGCTTTTTGCACCTAGCAGGTCACTCTAAGTTTTCTCATTATTTCTCTTTCATATATGAGGGAGCTGAGTTTCTGAAAAGCACAGGCTGCAAGAATGGGACCCAATCTGTCCGTTCTCTAGGACCTGTGAAATGTGAAAGCAGGCGCTGGCTTTCTGCTCAGGTGAAATACTTTCAATGGCAGAGCAGACGCTCACTTGTGGGCTGCCTGGTGATTTTCATGAAACCTTAGGTCCTGATTTCTGGGTCTGGATCTCGGCTCTATGCAACACAGGGAGGTGGGAGTGGTGGAGACGCTCTCCTCTCCCAAAGGATACAGATACCTTAACACCTGCCTGCGTCCCAGTACTGCTGTGCTACCTGCACTGGCACAGTTATTCCAGGATGAAGAAAAACTCAGAGAAACACCTGATGTGGGAATCCTAAGGCACACCTTGCACTTGAACATGAGGATGAAGGGAGGTGCTCACACAAGTACGTTCCTTACATAGGAAGGAAATGAAGAACTCTGATCTGGTGTCACATCTTCAGTTCCTAGTCACCTGACCCCATTGTACTGCAGAGCCCTCCGATGGCTCCCTCTCCATTCGGGCAGGTGGCCTGCCTGTCACCTGCACGTCCACTACCATCAATCACAATTCAGGTGGCAAAGCATTCAAGGTATAAAGCAATACAACACAAAACAAGACAAGACAAAAACCTCTGGCTTTATCCCTTTGGGTTTGATATTTGCCAGAATAGCTATAAAGACATAGAAAATGAAAATGTGAAAATCCTACCTGAAGCCTAGGAGGGGCGTTAGCCTCCCAGGCTTAACATTTTCCACTAACAGAGATGCCTGGAAAATATTATCCCATCACCTGCCTCACAACATATAGGAGAATTTGTGACTGTGATACATAGAGTAAGTTTTTGTTTCAAAGTGTGAAATTAGGTTATTTTGCATGCATAGCCTCTAAATAATGTAAATGCCTGGCTTTTCTAGTAAGAAGAAAATAAAACAACCCCAAATATTCATCTGTTATTTTTAGCAATGATTAATGAATACTTTATATCAATCTCTCATCAGTGTCTTCCTATAGGCATCCCACCTCCTACTCCAACATATTTCTGTACCGTGCCTTGCAAGAGCTGTACTGCTCCTACATACATGCCTGTTACAGAGGGAACTAAACCCAGTACACAGAGCTGTGCATTCAGACGGCAGAGCTGAGCTAGATACAAAGGCTGAGAGATGTGGCCTTGGTCCCCGAGAGTAACAAGGAGGCAACAGCACAGGCACAGAGATGCTCAGACGACAAATAGAAATGGGCAAGGAAAGCAGGCCTGGATTTGACCAGGGTGGCATGAAGCTCCAGGGAGGTGCAGCAGAGTGTCACAGTGAGGTGGCGAAAGGCCAACAAGTTGGGCAGGAGCTGCCACTGCTTCAGGAAGAGGTGCAGATGAGCGAGCAGAGCAGCACCACTCATGCACAGTGCGCTCAGGTCCAGCTAGGCGCAGCCCCTGGAGAGGAGGGCGCGATGCCGCCCAGGCGTGCACTACAGGTTGGAAGCTGAGAACCGCTGCAGGCGCCTCAGGACTGAGTCCGATTACCTCACTGCATCCAACAGGTGAAGCCATCTAAAATTTCATCTGCTTTTACAATTGTGTGTTTTTGTTTTTTTTAATTAAAGTGAACTAAGAGGCCTTTCATTGGAGGCATAATGTACTCACAGTAGTTTCCAAATAAATGGTGTCACTCTTCAGGTAAATCACTCCAAGGCTTGGGCCTAGTGCAGATGTTCATTGGGGCAGGGGGCAGAGCGCGGCTGCATCTAGATCAGAGGAGAGACAAACAAAAATCAGGCTGCTAAGTGGACAATCATGGCGATCATTTGTTCGGATAAACACAGAACAGCAGGACTTGGTTGAGAGGCTGGTGAGCACCTTGGCACCAGAGGAGGCAAGTCAGAGAAGGGGCTGGAGAGGATGTCCTCCAGGCTCCCTTTTTCATGTTTCTACCTGCGGGCCTGTCTGGTCCGACAGCATTGGCAGCCCTGGCAGCGCAGGTTGAATTGATTTTATGGTTCTGATTTGGAAGCTGTGGTGGAGGGTAAGGTTTGGGGAAGAGGAGGGAGTGTCAGTCAACTTTGCCATAGCCTACTCTTCTCCAGTGTTCCTGCACTGCAGTCTCTCTCTCTCTCTCTAGTGCTCAATTCTTACCTATTTTCTTTTTTTTAAATGTTTTTATTGATTTTTAGAGAGAGAGGGAGAGGGAGAGAGAGAAAGATCAATGATGAGAGAGAAACATCTATTGGCTGCCTCCTGCACAGCCCCCACTAGGGATCAAGCCTGCAACCCAGGCATGTGCCCTGACTGGAACGGAACTGGTGACCTCTTGGTGCATGGGTTGATGCTCAACCACTGAGCCACACCGGCCAGGCAGCTCTTACCTATTTTCAAGACACCCACTGACCTGGCCATATTTCTGAGCTCTTACCTTCTCTGCCCCCTTTACTGCAAAGGCTCCATGTCCTCTAACCTGTGGAGTTCAGCCTCAGGAGCTACTGAATGAACTACCACCTGTCTCAGAGCCACAACTCAGAGGCCTTTTCCCAGGTTTTGCATCTTTGGCCACATTGGGCTGAAATGATTCCTGAAGCTCTCCTCCCTTCTCATTGGGACCCTGCTTTACTCTGACTTCCCTCCTACCTTCAGTTCTCTTTTCTGCCTCCCTCACTGGCTGGTCTTCTTTCTCCTGTTCCTAAGTTTAGATATTCCTCAAGATTCTCTCCTCAGGCTTTGCCTACACCCACCCTCCATGACCTCAACAATCCCTTCTCCACAGAGAACACCCACATTGCTATCTTTAGTGTTTGCGTTTGTCTACAGAGCTCCAGACCAACATTCTAAATAACTGCTGGTAATGGGCTCATTCATTCATTCATTCAGTGTTTATATACACACCTGGAAAAGATGAATACTCCATGAAATATTGCATGGGCATTTCAAATTCAGAAAGTTTTAAACAGAATTTATTGCTTCTCCCTCAAAATATGTTCCTTCTCCAGTCTCCTCCTCTCCTGCCATTGGTACCATCTTCCTCCAGTTACTTGGACATACAATTGAGGAGTCTTCTCTAACAACTTTTCTTTTGCTTACCAAATCTAATCGGCTGCCAAGTTATGTGGTTTTTACTCAGGCTGTACTTCCTTAATCAATACCTGCTTTCTATCTCAATATTGATTTATCCTTTTATCACCTGTTACCAGGATTGCTGGGGGAGCCTCCTAACTGCCTTCACTTCCTCTAGAACAGGGCTCCTCAAACTTTTTAAACAGGGGTCCAGTTCACTGTCCCTCAGACCGTTGGAGGGCCGGACTATAGTTTTTAAAAAAACTATGAACAAATTCCTATGCACACTTGCACATATCTTATTTTGAAGTAAAAAAAACAAAAAACGGGAACAAATACAATATTTATATTTGCATGTGGCCCGCGGGCCGTAGTTTGAGGACCCCTGCTCTAGAATCTAGATTCTCTTTACCACTAGCCCATCCTTCATAATCAATATTACATTCATTTTTCTAAAGTACCACTCTAAACATACCACTTCTTTGCTCATTTGCTTACTTCTCAGTTTGGCATTCAAAGCCCTTATAACATAGCCCCAATCTAATTTCCTAGTCTTAGCTCTACAGTCCATTCTCCACTGCTGCAAAGTCCCACCCCTTCCCACCATGCTCACGGTCATGCCCCCCTTTCCCAATGTCCACATAAACTAGTAGCTTCAAGGGCCATCCAAATGCTACCTCAGTTATGAAGCATTTCCCAAAGGAAAGTGAATCCCGAAGCACTTTTGCACTTGGTGCTTGAATCCTGAAGCACTTTTGCACTAAGCTCTTTGCACATTCTATGGACTCTAATAATTATTTGTGTACTATATCTCTCCCCTCTCTAAAGGCCTTGAAAGCAGAAAAGTTTTTACTTTGTATGCCCAGTAGAGTGCAATGCCCAGCACACAGGTTTGCACTCAGCTGATGTCTGCTGAACTGTATTTAAAAGGAAAAAAAGACTCTTGCTTAGAGTCAATGGAAGCTGAGACTGAATTGGAAAGCTCATCTATTCCAACCCCTCATTTTTTCAGATGAGGAGATTAAAGGCACTGACTTGCTCAACACCATATCCTTGTTACTGGCTGGGCAATGATAACTTATATAAAAGCTCACAAATCTCTAACGATCTCTCAGTGCTTGCTCAGCACCAATAGGCCCAGCAGAACACCAGCATTGACCAGACAAGACAGACTCAGGGGTAGGGAGTGCATTACCTGTAAAGATATGCTAGGGTCCAAAAAATAAAGAATTTTGCTTCACTTATTCACCTCAATAAACTGAACTCATAAATATCTTTTTATAGTTAAATAATGTTTTAAAAATGAAGTGATTTAAAGTACAAGGAAGCAAACCTTGCTAACATTACCAGCAGAAACAATCACTACAATATTGCAGATACCACTGGGGCGATAAACTCAGGGTGAAAACCAGAATGAAGGAATTTCTCACGCTTTGCAAACGCAATGGGTTCAGCTGAAGTTCTTGGTGAGAACATGCTGCAGCAATTCTATGCTTAAATTTATGACCTTATGGAAATACAGGTTATTGGCAATTTTGCTATTATGCCACCTCAACACTTTTTTCAATCTAGCTTTGCCCAGTATTTACAACTTTAAAGTTTCACTTATTTTTTCCCCATTAGATCACGAATTTACTTCTAGAAATACGTTGATGACTCCTCCCGTGTCTAATTTCCTTCCCTTGTTCTCCTCTTGTGGTAGAAGAAACATTAATCGTTTAATCTCATCTCTATCCTCAAACAGAGTCGTTTTCTCTCACCGGAGATGAGAAAGCCGAACCTAACACACTGTGGGTATAGCAGTGTTTTCCCAGGTTAGGAAATCTCAGTAGTTTTTCCAGGAGATCTCAGTAGTTTTTCCTTGGCCACAAAAACTCAGCCTTTAAATGGCAGCCTACAGAACTACAGGACTTCCTCTGACTCCCAGGTGAGTACTTTGCTCACCGCTACTCGCCAGAGGACAACTTGGCACTATTAATCACACTCTTTGCAGCCAGTACAGTAGATCCATGCTATGCACTGAAATGTCCATTAACTCTCCACACCCCAGGAGCCACATAAACAGTAAATGGGGCTCAAGAGCTCTTCCTAGAGCTCTTCTTACTAAACCATCACATGGCTGGACAGGCCATCAACACTTCACCAGACAAGCCTTGTCTTTTCTCCCCTGGCAACTACATTAAAACGATAAGGGAAATCACTGATCGATATGTCTAGGACATTGCAGTGAAACATTGCCTGGAAGCCTACAAATCCATTGTGTAATTAGATGAGTGTACATTTTAAATATGCCTAGCATTTGATTTGAATTGTGCATTTTATAATTAAATGGAGACATAATCTCCCCGTTCCCTAATCCAACTCCTCTTTCTCAATCCTACATCCTGCTTTCATTTTTTTTTGGCAAATTGTCACCTATCCCCTTCTTCTTTTTTCCCCTCATGCCTTAGCACACACCTGAGGGTCTATTAATCAGAATTACCACCTGCTGTGTCATGTTCTATTGCTTAAAGGGTGGTTCTCCTCTAAAAAAGACTCAGTGAAAATGACTTCATGAAGTTTAATATTTATTCTTTTTCAATGATTTCCATAACCAATGTAGTCACATTTTTTAAAGCAAAAGATAATTTTGAGAGGCTGCTGGGCCAATTTTGAGAGGCTGCTAGGGCCGCACATGCCTCCCATACCGGAAATACAGCTGTGCTCCTTGCCTCTTACATCATCCCTGTAATAGTCTGCTCTGGGAACCCAGCTGGCACAGCTCTCGCTGGTGTCAGAGGCAGGAGACTGGAGTCCTTTCCATTCCCGCCTGTGTTTCTGACATCTCTGCAGCTCGTCTTGGAAGCCCTTGGGGAAACAGAGCTGTTATGTAACACATAGCCATATATTACTGTGAGGCACTTCCTGCAGAGGTCTTATTCCCATTCTTTAGAAACCACACCAAGTCATTCTAAAGTGATAGCTGGGGCCTTCATGACTAAAGCTTACAAAAATGATAATAGTAACAATAATAGCTGCCATTTATTACACCTCTAAATGTTGTCAGGGACCATGCCAGGCATTTTGATATGTAAATACATTCTCATTTGACCCTCACAGCAATGTCATCCTGTAGGTGTTGCCATAACTATTTCGCAGATGAGGAAAAGTGAGGCTCAGAGAGCTCAAATAACCACTCCAAGATTAGGAAGCTGTGTATAGTCAAACCAAGACCCCTCTGACTCTAAATCTGTGCTTTTTTCCACTATACAGTCACTGTTCCAGCCCAGCAGGGACACGTTCTAGTTCCCACTGTGATCTCAGTGCAAGAAAGATGCTTATGCTGTTTCCATGATGACTCAGAGCCACTGACAGAACTGAGAGCACAGACCTCCGGTGAAGGAACTCTTTCAGATACTGTCAATACATATGGCTTCTTCCTAGCTCCTCCTTATCAGAATATGAAAAGTCTTCTCATCTACCTTACAGCAGTCTTCTCAAACTGGAATGGTGGAGGTGAATTCTGCATTTCTAAGGAGCTCCCAGGTGAGGCTGCTGACACTGGTTCGGGCACCACAGGTCTGGCATCTGACACTCGCCTTCCCACCTAGGGCTGTGTTTAAGGAGCAGGTCCAACTGAACAACTTGACTAACAGCTCGCAAGGCTCCACTGCCTTCTGATTCTGGGCCAGTGTGTCAGGTCATCAGGCATTAGACAGAA